AGCCGGAAGCGGGAGACAATAGACGCGGAGGTCGCCTTTGTGCTGCGAGGAACAATCGACGAGAGGCCGTTCCTTAGAATTCGTAAACGGTGGTGCACACCGCCCACGCTTTGTAATGGCGAATGACGAATAGGAGAGTGGAAACTGAACGTGGAATGTTGAAATTCGTACATTGTGATATTTAGATGGACTGGTTATTGGTCGAATTACATGTCGATCGTCAAATATCATCTGTCTCGTGCAAATGTTTTTAAAAAGTAAAACAATCGAATCGAACTTAGTAGTTGTTCGAGGAAATTCAAAATTCAAAATTTTCGTTTTCACAAACGCGTGGAATATTTCAAATATTGGAAATAATGCTTTCGATTAAATAAAGTAATTAAGTAAAAATTGTGTATCTTCGAAAGATATTAACAGAATTCGTAGGAAGAAATTTTCTGAAAAAGTCGGTCGTAGATGATTCCATTTCTTTCAGGCAACACGATTAAACCGGATAGTGATTTTCGCGTTTCCACATTTCTTTGTTGTTTTTAAAATGTGCCGCAACGCTCGAAATACGGGGAACCCGTCGCGATTGTTCATCGTCGCATCGAGGGCAAACAAAAGAGGAAGGCGACCGTTATTTATGTAACAGCCATCGCTGTGAAAAACCGAGAAATTCGATGTCAATTACAGCCGTTTCTGCAGTTCCCCTTGAATCGCATAAATAGCATATTTCTCGCCCAAGATACGAAGTAATGTGAATTGTAAAGTATTTCGAGATATTGCCGTGTTGCAAGATGATGTTTATCGGATTCGGATATATGGATTTTCTTGATGGTGTGTCGTATTTGTTGGAACCGTGAAATTTTAATTAAAAGAACATAATGTGATATCGATTTTATAAATTTGTAATTCTTTTCAATTTAATTATTATTCAAGTCTGCAAAGATATAGGACGGGGGAATCTTTTTTATTATTTCAGCAGGATGTTCATTTCGATTATCGTATCTCGAAATTGTTGTGAATATAAAAATATACTTTATTTAAATAATGTTGGTATTTGAAAAATATTTTCACAAATTAAATAAATAATTGTCCATACGTTCTTTTTCGAATAAACATCATCACAATCGTTAAAATCGATTTCGATGGACACCTTCGTTCTGATATCCGATTTCTAAACAAAGGCAAAGCGTGGAAATTTGAAAATACTTAATATCCGTTCCACACGCTTCTTCTTTCCAACTTGGACAAGTATTCCAAAGCATCGAACGAAAGTATTAAAGTTTCTGGTAGCTCACGATATTTTAAACTTTGACCTTTGCCACTTATTTCACCCTCGCGATTCTTGGATCATTTGCATGCATATGAAATCACGAGATTCTCAACGGTATCCACGGTATTATTCCATCTGTGGGAACGCGGGCGATGTCGCGTTGGAATTAAAGCTTTTCCCTCAATGTCTCATTAACGTTGATTCGAGAATTATCGAGTTGCTTCGAAAATTATCATTATATCAAAGTGTGCATACGATTTCACTCGATTGCATTTTTCTTGCATTACTCTTCTGTGAGAACAATCGACCGACCTGTGTACGAAACAATAGCACACATTTTCTGGTTTAATTGCTTAGCAAATGGCGGTGATTTCGTTTAAATTAGAGAAAGATTTCCTTTGCAATTTCTATTGTACGATTTTTGGATGTAATTACGGTTTATTGTGTGCATTTTTTTTCTTTTGTTTGAAAAGGTCGTTTTGTTTTTTTTTTTTTTTTCTTTCTTCAAACGCTTTTTAATTTTCTCGATTCTATGAGCAACGTGAATTGGCGGCATAATTATAAGAACATTCTTGGATCCCATCTATCTCAAACCTGTTACGAAATGTATTTCGATCGAACGTGTTTCAAGATAAATATTTGAAACGTTTGATACGATTGAATTTTTGTTCCTGGAGATTGATATCTGTTTATTTAAAAAAAAAAGAGAAAAAAAAAAGAATGATATGAAATTGAAATGAATCTGTTGCATTTGTATATGTGAGAATGTATATTTTGATTAACATTCAATGTTAGGATGCAATCAGAGATTTGCAAATTGCATATAAACAAATCGTTTTAATTTATTTGAAGGAAAATTTATTCGAAAACGAGAGTGCTAGCATAATTCAAGAATCTCTTTATTCGTTCGAAACTTTTAATTGACAAGCCAATTAAATGATTACTGAAATACCGAAGTGATTAATTGACTTGCCAATTGAAAGGTTTAAACGACGATTCTTCAACTACAATAAATTATACGATAAATTATTTTCTGATTTTCACTGATTACGCTCTCTATTTATTTGCAATTTCCGAAATTTCTGTATTCTTTAGAATTTTTTCAAAAAGATAATAAACGAGACCATGAATACATTGTTGGCAACGTTTTGTAAGATTTCGAAGCAATTTTAAAACCATTTTCTAGATCTCTGCTCACTTTCTTTTCACGCGGATACATTTGAATATCTTCAATATTTAACAATGATGCTTCGTTTAAATTTTAATTAATGGTAAAATCGAGAGAATATCGCAATCAGTAAATATTCTTCCAATTTAAATTTCATTCCTTGTTCAACATTTGCTTTTAAACACTTAATACATTCATTTATATACAAAATATAAAACTCTTTCCTTTACAGAAAATATATAAATTCCAGATATATACAAATTTCTCAGTACCAAACGCGTACTTTTTACCCATTTATTTAAAATCTATCAAATATAAATAATATTTAAAGCGCGATTCAAAAGTATATATAAAACGAAAGATCAGGCATTTCAATCGTTTTCCAAACTGTCTCGTCATCCTTCCAAAACCGACTCGTTTCAATTATTCAAAGATAACGTTTCCAATAGTTAGGAAATTAGGTCAGAAGCCTCTATCTAGCAGCTGACTAATTATCCAGGGGGGAAAAAGGAAGGAGCGGCGTTTGGGAACGTATGGATTCCCTAATAAATCTCGTCGCGTATAATATATCGTGGACATTTATTAAGTGAGCGCCGTAATCGGAAACCGCGTGCAGCTGTTCGCATAGGAACGCGCGGGTATCGACAACAAAGAGACGAAAAGCTCGATAATCGAAACAGTGTTAAATCGGCGCAGTGAGTCCTGGCAAGCGTAATTTTCGGTAAATTTCGCGGATCCATTTCGTCGGATTTAACGTTTCGCCGATTTCTATTAAACCAGCGAGAAAAATTGAACGTCGATCTTCTGGAAATGAACCGTTGATTCATGATGAAAAAAAGAAAAAAGACGAAACTTCGCGCTTTTAATAAGGTGATAATAATTATAATCCCCCCGCCTCGTTAAATCTTCGTTTCGATCGGAGACAGGGATCCGCATGGCGAGATCAAGATGAAGGCGTTAAATTAGTGGAAAGGAGCTTCGTTCCTTGTGAGAGAGGTTATAATTAAAGGTTTCGATTCGATATTTCGTTAATTAAAGACGATTTGTTTAATGAAAACTTCTTTTTGAAAGATATTGTATAACTTCGTTATATTTATTCGTTTATTTAAGTTGATCGAGTCTTTATGGTATTTATTGTTATTATTGTATGTTCTTGATTTGTTTCTCCAATGTGTCCTATAAAAAAAAAAAAATGCATTTATAATTAGAAAATATTCGAATATCAAATATGTAATTTTTTATGTGAATTTATTAACGATAATGAAATTTGATTAATTATTCACATTTATAGTAATTGTATAATATTATACTTTTGATGGAAAAAATATAAATAGAATCTGCTTCAGAAAATTCAACAAAAGTAAAAATAAAAATTATTAAACTCATCAATTGTTCAAGAAAATTTATTAATATCAGGTATCGATAGTTTGAATATTAAAAGAAATTGTTATATATGCAATATCAAAGGCTTTAATTCCATTTCTTATCGTGATTTTGATTTATCGATGGATCACGCTTATCCCCTATTGCACATCTATCGTGTGCATCTATCAGTTCATTTAAATCTAATAACAGCGATGCATATATTGGAAACTATGGTTATCCTGCCTTTAACACGATAGAAATGATAATGATTTGTGTTTTGGATAATTATGATAATCACGTCAAATCGATATTAACTTAAGGTAATTGTCGTCAATTAATTAATCTCTGACAGCCGTTTATCTGTTCACATCGAAAAGTCAGTGCAATACTGATTTATTTGTATATGTGCAATGCTTGATTATGCAATCATTAACCTAGTGCCCATTAATTATTGATGCACTCTGCATTACTACTACATTTGCCTCTTTGATTTGATCATGTCTTCTCTCGTATCGAAATATATATCCTAAGATGCTATACCGTTCTTTCTTGGAATACATATTGAACACCAATTAATTCTATCTCTAATAAATTCCAACAAATTTTCCAGAGAAGTTTATTATTCATTTGTTTATTCAAGATTCGTTTACATATCTGTTTTATTAATTTTTTTTATTAATATTTTATTAACAAAGGAAACAATTTTTATAAAATGAAAAATTTATTTTAATTACAAATACATATGATATTTGAAAAAAAACATTTTAAATTCTCATTGTTTTGTTTTAAGCTTTGTAATAACTTATTTATAATCATAAGAGGACACATTGGAATTAATCAATCAATTTTACATCAACGAATAATTCAATCATTAATTACTTTCTCCCTATTTCTATATTTTCCTATATTCATAAATGATTTCAAATTCTAACATACATCTATATCTACATAACAAAACCAATTGTTCCTAAATGCTTTACAAGAAACGAAGGTAAAAACTTTAAGCATTTAAGTGTGAAGCAATCATCTTGTTCTTGCCAATAAAATAAAATATAAAATAAAAGTTACAAAAATTAAAATTGAACGAAACGTCCGTATAAAATATCGAGGATATAAAATCACGAGAAACGATAGGAATAATGAGATATGAACGAAAACGCGAACGAGATCGATGACGATGATTAATTATATGTGGTATGAACACGTTAGTGCGGATGAGGGTTTCGACGGAACGTACCAAACAAACGTGGTGGTCGCGCATAACGGCAGTTGCCTGTACGTTCCTCCGGGCATCTTCAAGAGCACTTGCAAGATAGACATCACTTGGTTCCCCTTTGACGACCAACACTGTGACATGAAGTTCGGATCCTGGACCTACGACGGCAACCAGGTACACTACTGTCTCCACTAAACACTAAACACGCTCAGAGTACACACAAAGCACCAAAAAAAAAAAAAAAAAAAGAACTCTCTTTACTGGTCCCGAATTCTTCTGGTGGCGCGATCCATTGCGCCATTTTCCTTGACGAACGTACAAACGTGGCTTCGAAATTACCGCCAATGGACGATCCGAAAGCGACCAATCCGAACGCTCGATACATCATCGTGGAGAGAGAAACGAAATTTAAATTTTTTTAATTTCTGTACTTTACTTTCCTTTTAATTTTTTCTAAGTGCTGCACTTCTTTTTGTAAATCGAATTTTCAATGAGATTGTTTTTCGGGAAATATTTATTATACTCGCGAAATAAACTATTGATTGTAGTATTGAAATTGGTAAATTGATATGTAACGTTATTTCGTAACGACATCGATTTATTTTCTGTTCAAATTGGATAAAATCACGTTGAATAGTTTCTCTTTTGATTAACTAGGATTTAAATTGAACTTCGTTAATGAAAAATAACGATTTAATTACTGAAAATGTTCCATCAAATGAAAATAGAACAGCAATCGTTTAAAGTTTAATTTTTATCGGTAATATAAATTATATTACCATGGTAATTATATTGAAATAAAATAGTAGTATAATTTAAAATCAAGGTATTAATGAAAGTGTTCATTAATTGTATTAAAAGTAAAATACATCAAACTTAAACAAAAAAATAAAATAAAAATAATAATTATTCAAACGTACCGATCCATAAAGATATTATATATTATATAATTTTTATCCTCACTAACAAATTACTTCAAAACAAATCGTACCATCGAAAAAATTTCATATTTAAAAATCCTAAAACACCCTTAAAAATTGAAAACCTCGCGTCTTATTGATAATTAACCACCGATTATTACACGTAAATAATCATTTCGCGAAAAAGATTCGATGATCCTAACCTGACAACATACGTCATGTATTCCTCGCCAGACATAGTAATTCATAATTCGTCGTCGAAATAGACGGTACGATTCCTTCAATTTATTGCGAGCAGCATGGCTCGATGATTTTCTCTCCCCGATGGCGTTAATGAAAAAACCCGCTTGGGGTCCGTTGGCGGCACTGACGAATCCCACGATTGCCACGATATCCCACGAATCCAGGAGAAAAGAAAGGAGGTCCTCTCGATCCTACGCCCATGAGCTGCCTCCCGAGGCTTCTTTGTCCGACACAAGAACTCAGTGCAACACAATAGCAACGCTCCATAGATAGCCGTTCATTCTCACGCTTCGTAGCTTCAGCTCGGTTCTTTATATATAATATAGGTATATTACATATATATACGATACGATATTATATATATATATATTATATTATTTACGTGTATACAATACGTGTAAACACGCACATGTACCAACATATGTGAAATATCGAGAAGTGTGGGGTGAAGAGAAAAGGGGTGGTGGAAGAAAGGGTGATGATATATCATGGATAGAGATGTGAGAATGTCCTCTCTCGCCGTTTTTACTCGGTTTTTCTTCTCATTTTTTCGCATAGAGGAAAGGGGAAGGGATATTTCGTTGGCTATAAGTTGATTCTGAGCTGAAAGTTGATGGAATATTAGGGTGGTGTATATTATTGTACTGTAAATTTTGTTAGCTATAAAATTTTAGATCCGTATTTTGTTTATATATTGAGTATGTTGATTGATTTCTCTTTGAACGATTTAATTAATTTTATTAGTAAAAGTTACAAGAAATTAATAGAAAAAATTATATAATGATAATTGTAGGATATTTATTTAAATTGTAAAATTGTAGAAGAAAAATGTACATGGCTTGTAATTTATGGATTTCGTTTTATCTTATATTCTGTAATTTTATATAATAAAAATTGTACAGAATAAAATCTAATACATGGGATATATGTAAAAACAGAAATTGAATATTTTAAAATTGAGAAAGTTGACATAAATTTAAGTAATTAATAAATGTTTCAAAATTAATAGAATTGATACAAAAGTAATAGGATATATGATAGGAATAAATTAGTTGCGATTAATGTAGGAGAAGAGTTTGTTTGTTATTATCAACAATTAATTAAAACTTAATATAATGATATAATTAAGGAGGCAGAAAAGTTATATGAAAAGTATTGAATAAAATAGTGATTTTAAAATACTTATGAGAAATAAATATTGCATAATAGATATATATTTAAAAATATATTAGATTTAGATTTTTCTTAAAATCATTACAATAATTACTAAATATTTTTAATAATTTTTAATAAATCATGAAGTAAGAGGAACAACAACGTTTATCATCGTTAAAACATAAACCAGGAACATAGATCAATCATAGATTTTCCACGAACTTTCACATTTTTTAAACACTCAAACTTTTCTATCACTGAAATATATTACTGCGAAATAATATCTCATATATTGTTGATGGAAATATATGGATGATAACATAGATTTCAAAAATAAAAAATAAGATATAGTTTCGAAACGTATGATAGTTAGAAATTTTAATTTTAACCGACTATTTATTTTCTATGAGCCACAATGAGCCACGATGAAGCACCGATTAACTGGACAGCTCAGCTCGATAAATCTGTAACAATACCAGTTATCGATTATCTGGGCAAGGCTTTTAAATGAATGATCAGGCAAATAAAATATTAAACGCAATGAATTTTAGTTTAAAGCAAGGAAGAAGAAAATACAAAGTATCTTTCACTAAAAATTTCCATTAACATGATCGATTATGAAATCTTTCATGGACAATTTTATGATGCAATGTAATACATAATAATCACAGAAGTCTTCCTGCATGTTTTATATGAAATATTGTGAATATATAAGCCATAACAGATTATACATGGATTCTTTTATTAATGGAATGTCGTTTGCAGAAAGCAAAAAGTTCCTTAAAATTATTATTTTCGGTTTATACTTTTAAATATAACTTCGTAATGATTTTAAAATTAACCATAAACTATAAAATATTCAAATTTTAATTCTCCATTATATAAAAAGTATATATCATTAATGTTAACTCTTAGAATATTTAAAAAATATTCTTTTTTCTTTTTTCGTATATAGCATTCAATTATTTATTACAAGAGAAATATTGCAACAATTTTATTTTAAAGGATTTTTGTATAATGCATTAGATAAATTTAAGATTTTTCTCTTTGGAAAGGTAATATTTATCTTTCATTTTTGAATGCACGGAGAAACTAATACAGTAAATATTCGTATAATATGGATTCGTTTAAATTTGTAGGATATGGTGAAAATAGGATGTGGTAAAGTTGCTAGGTATAATATAATAAAAAAAAGGCTCGTATAACGTAATATATATAATATTTAAGAATATGCATTTTTACAATATGACAAGATATGGTACTATCATAAGAAATCATCAGTGTACATAGAATACAATGGAAAAAAAAAAAGAGATAAAGATATTTTCAAATATTATAGCAAACTTGCTCTATTTTTAATTTTAAATTTTACAACAAATTTCTAAATATATTTACAAAAATTTCGAAACTCTACCAATATTCGAATCTGAATATGTTTAACCCATCATTTTTATTCCAAAATCCACAAAATCGATATTCAAACGCTCGTCGCGTCTGTGTAATATGTCGCTGATAGGTTTACACGCAAGCAACGATCGTTCCTAGTTGCTAGAATAATTAAATTCGTTACGTATACCGCATGAAACAGCCACGTGTATTATTTAATGTCGAAATTTGTTGTCACGCTCGGTTGAACACAGAGGGAGAGGACACGCTGATCCTCGCAACCGCGATTTCATTAATAGTATTTCACTCTCAGGATCGTAGGAAATTGCGAATAATCGCCACAGATAATGCTCTACATTTTTAATGTGACGTGATGTCACACTCTCATTTTGAAAATAAAATAAAAGAGAAACGAAAAATTAATTGGGAAAGGAGTGACGATTGCTGCGCCATCTAGAGATGCGTGTATTAAGCTACGTTCTCATGCAACGCTAAATTGTATACCTTTCGCATTGATCAGAATGTGTCATTATTTTTATCATCGTGGCATTGTCAAAATGATACAATGTTATACAATATTAAGGCTACTAAAAGAATATCATCTTCATCATTACTATTAACATCCATATCACTTACATTACGATTGATAAACAATGGCTATTCGAATTATTACTAATTGACTTTATTTTTCATCGTTATCTTCTTCTCAAATATCTCAAATCTCTTGAGATCTGCTGAACGGTTGTTGGTCGGAACAATCGAAAATCATTTTTAATATCGTATGAAAACGTACTAGTTGACGTAACAACCGCATCGTGTTAACCTCTTCTCTTTTTCCCTCTCTATTATTGCTAGATGAGAGTATGACGTCACATACTGAAAATCTAGAGGTCTGGCAATTGTGGCCGAATTGGAATTCGTCGTATTTAATTATTTCTGAATTGCGGTTAACTTGAGGTAATCATCATTAACGGAACGATCGTTCGATATTATTGACGCGTTGATGTTCGATCGTTAATTGGCAGGCATAATTGGAGACTGTAAGACGTTCGCTTCATTATTCTGGCTAGCAGAATAATTAATTGATCGTTTCTTCTCTCGGTGGATGTGCAATGATGTTGAATCGAATACTTGTCTTGTCTTTAAAAATTTTTTTTGTAAGTCTTGTAACATTTTTGATATAATAGATATAATTATTGTGTACGTGAATACGTGAGTCATTCATTGTAGATAATGGATGTATGAATTATTGTAGGAAATCGAATATGAATAGTGAACTTCGTGTTAATCCTTTATAATAATTTGTAATTTGGATTAATTTTAAAGCTTGTATTATTTTATTATACTTTGTTTGTAATAATATTAATTTATTTGTAACGATTATAGCTTCACACTTTTCAAATCGAAAAATGATAATAATATTTTCTTTTTGAAGAGAATTTATAGAGGATTAAAGTGAATTTGAAGATT